GGAGGTGGCGTTTGTTTTTTAAATTCTCATTTTCCCTGTTGGAAGTGGCCAGGTGGCGTAGCCCTCAGACGCCCAGGCGCATCGCCTTTTCCCCGCAGCGGCGTCAGGGAGCCCAATGGACCGGCTGAGGGGGGGTCGGCGGCGGCGGGGGGGAAGGATTTGGCTATTGTGTGGCCGGCGAGGGCGAGAGGGAGAACGCGCGTGCACACACTCCAGTAACCCAGACCCAGCTGCACCGAGTGTGCGCAAGCAGGCAGGCAGGCGGGGAGGGAGGGGGCCGCCAGAAAGAAAAAAATCTTGTGAGAGCGCCTGGGAGAACAACCTGCTCGGCTCCAGCGACAACCTCCCCTCCTCCCTCCCCGGGAGAGCACGGCGGTGGGTTTGCCAGCAACAAGAAACAGCACCCCAAGCAACTGCGAACTTGCAGGAGTGCTGGCCGGGGAGAGCGTGTGGGGGTGGGGGAGAAAGGGAGATTTCCAAACAGGCACACCGACGCACCCACAGCTGGGGGGAGGAACCAAAAAGACCGGAGCAAATGCAGTTCAATTGATACGGACATGGAACTTTATAGAGACGAGGGGTCACTGGGAGGAAAGACAGTATTTAATTGATGCTTCCAAGCACTGGTTGTACTATATGCTAGCAAGGATAACTAGCGAAGCTGTTTCACAGACTGAAGTGAAAATTTGAGCTGCCCTGTAACTCTGATTAGCTATCTCTGCATTTTTCTATGGAGTGAGCTCAGCAATTCAGTGGAGTTTTGAAGAGGTGTGTTTTTTTTAGTCCTGCAGAAGGGCACAGTTTTTATTCCCACATGGCTCCATGCAAGCTATACCTTTAATGGCAGAATTGAACCTGTGGTGGTGAAGTTCCATGTGATCTCCTTCACCACAAAGCTCCCACAAGAGACTGGTGATGCAGGAAGAATCACTGCAATACTACTTCTGCAACCCAAGAACCAATCTCAAATGCTGAGAAATCAAGTGAAACAAAGTGATAATGTGTGGCTCTCCTCTTCATATCCCTGCCCCTCACTGTGAGGTAGACTAGGCTGAGAGGAAGTTGGTGGCCTGACCTTGCCAAGTTAATGTCACACCTTCAGAATTTAAACTGAAGTTTTTCCAGTCCAAGTTTAAAACTCCTAACACTTTGCTAGTCTCCTCTGCATGTGTTGACCAATCTGAAAACAGTGAAATCAAACATACAATAGATTGACTTGATTATTGGCTTGCAAACATATTTAATCTTATACGTGATTAAACATATTTAAACTTATGTGTACTAAATAAAAAAAGCGGGATGAGTGAGGAATGGAAGCTTCAACATTGGACCATGAAATGTTCGTTAGAAGCCTTGGGGAAGCCTGTTCTTGTTTTTCTTACCATATCCTCCTTGTGACATATTTTTGGATAACTCCATAGCCCTGAGCATTTCCTCTGTTCATATAATCTCTCCCATGTTCTCACACGTCATTTCCCCGCGATCATCGCAAAGTGAATTTTCCCCATAGGGGCCATCGTAAAACGATCGCTCTTGCGATGGCAAAAGTCCATCGCAAAGCGATTTCATCGTAAAATGGAGCAATCGGTATGCGAGGCACCACTGTATAATAAAAATACAATTAACCTACAAAGTAAGTTCACATCTTAAAATAAATCAAATTAAAAGCACAAGAAATAAAGAACATGAAAAGCACAAGTTCCACTCAGTCCAATTTGCTTCCTCCATGATCAGCCACTTCTTTGAATTAAAAAGATCTTGCTTACCAGTCCAGGGACAAAAAAGCATGGGGGAGGGTAGCCTAATCCCTTTTCATAGGTGTCTCTTTTCCTGCTTTTCAAGACTCCCTGCTTTCCTGACAATGTTGCTTATAAATTTATACACACTTAATGATTCACACTTTCCTGTTGTATGCCTTTCCCCCCCAAATCCCACTATTTTGCACAGCATGCAATTTGGCTTCAAAATGTTCTTACCTTATCTTGCTTTTGGTAGGTTTGCTTAATAAATGAACGTGTTATTTCATGGAGCTGACGTAAAGCTGGTACCACCCACACAAACTGAGGATTATGATGCTGGGACGACTATTTTAAAAAGATATAAATATATATGTTCATTATGTGCATGGAACAAACTTTCAAAGCTTCTAGATTATTTTTATATTTCCTATGCCTGCTATTTCTCCATTCCACTGTAGCAAATCAATTTTTATTGGGCCTATTTTCTATGTAGAACATATCCATAATTATGTTAACTAAGATATAATACAAGGAAAAGCTTTGAGAACCATATAATTCAATGCATTAGTGGGTCACATAAGAAAAGAGTCCAAACATCTAGAGCAGATTGGGGGAGAGCATAACAGACTGCAAGGCAAGGGGCGCAAGAAAAGAGTACCTGATCAGGTCAACTACAGCAGTTTCATAACTATGGTTCAATTGTTGGGAATAGGCATGGAACACCAACTTCCTCATTTCTGATAAAAAAGTGAGCAAAGTTGTTGAAGTCAAAGGGAAGTTGGTAACCACTATGGAATATGTTTGTGTTAGCATCTGTTACCATTCAGCTAGCTATAGCTATTAAGAATTAAAACTTACTGGCCAGAATCCTGTTATGTATATTTGGCAGCATGTCACCAGTGTGCAGTTGGAAATCAACATACAAACTTCCTAATTAATGGCAATTTACTGATGAAAATTATCAGTGGGTTTAACTAATAGGATTCCAGCCATTTTTAAAGGTCATCGAGGTAAACACATCCAATTATAGTCAGAGATTTCCCCTACCTGAATTCAAATCAAGACCTATTAGCTTTTTTATAAACAAAAGCTCAAGTTATTAAAGCATAGGAGGGACCACTTTTAGTATACAGTCAAAGGAGTGGGAACCTACAAACAACATGTCTTGGAGAGCTATCCCACACTATCTCTTACCTAGGCAGATATTGTGCAATTATATTATGCTCTTACGTTAATTTCATAACTAAATTCAGACAAATCTAAAAGTTCTTCAGCTTGGCACTATGAAAATGCTGAGCGGACAGCTTAACCCCACCCCCTCCATCCTCGTGTTCTTCATGCTTATAGAATGGAGTCTTCAGAAAACAATCCTGCTAGTTTTTAGTCTCTATGTACACGTATCAGCTTTACCTTCTACAAGCAGGAGAACTCCCTTAATAAACCAGTGCTCAAAATGTTCCCAGCTGGAGGAGGCATGAGAGATCTCCAATAAGCCAGCCTCTCTATAGCTCTGAGCACCACCTTCCAGTGTGTTTCAGGTAGCCTTTCAAAACATCCAGATCAGATGTAGGAATGGGGAGAGAAGATTGATGGGTGAGGGGGAAACGAACAAGCATTTGCTTTTTGCCTACAGTATTGTGCCAATAGAAACTCTGGTGAACCAAAAGCTCTCCACAGACAGAAAGAACTTTTGTATTTGCAAGAGGTAACAAAGTTTATTTGAACTTTAATACATTCTAATAATGTACACTACTGAGTTCACTTAAGCAACAATTTACTGTTGGAGCAAGAGTGTTCATGTTACCTGGGTCATTCGGGTTCTAAAAATTTAATTTTTTCCTGCCTAAATATCTCCAACAATTTCATTCTTGCAACTTTCACCAAAATTCCTCACTTTATTGGCAAAAAGCTTGTTTGAAACATATGGAAAAGACATACAATGGCTCTCTTAGAAAGAAAGCACACCAGTATAAGCACTCATAGTTTCCAAGGTATCCCCACAAAAGATGAGAAGTTACAGACTGATATAAGTTCTCATTCCTTACTAACAAAAAAAGAAAAAGAAAAAAAGCTGGATCTAGTAATAATATGAAAACATATTACATGATGACAACATACTTTCTAAAAACAAGACAAACCAACCCTCTTAATATCTTCTATGCATTTGATGATATAGCTTCTTTTAATTGCTTCCTTCACTGCATATGCATCACTAAGGATTGTCAAATGCTCCTCCAATGCCTGTTGAATCAAACTACTGGGTAATGTTGGAAGATGAGCCAAGTCCCAGAGAACCTCAAGAACCTGCAGGGATTTATCCAGAGAGATGATTATCACAATGCATTACAGAAATTGGTATCTGTGTTTAATCAACAAATTAAGTTTTTTTGTTCATGCCTTTCCAGTTGTTGTCTCTACACGTGCTTCCCGACCAATGCGCCCTATCAGGCTTAAGAGTTTCTGTCTCACTCTGTCACTTTCAGACTCCCAGCTCTGCAAAAGAAATAGAAAAAAAGAGATGAATACAAAGCCTCATCAGAACAAATCAGTACAGTCTGCCATCACTGAATTTAGTCAAATTTAGATCTCAGATAACATATAATCTGGAAATGAAAACCATAATAAAGTTTAATTTCTTCTATGACTCTCATCTGATTCTGCAAGCATTCTTGAATTATACTGACAGTTATGTGATCTTTACTTCAGCTCAGCTAACAGCTGGATGTATGATTAGAATTAGACATGATTAGAATTAGATTCCAAACAAGTGCAGGATAACCTAGTTCAAAATGGAAATTCCAACTATAGTCAAACCAGGTTGAACACTCACATTGATATTTTAATTCAAAGTCATTATTTATAACTACCCAGTTGAACCATCACAGTAAATCTTTCAAAAGATTCCTGCAGTAAATCTAGTCAGACAGTTGCAGATAACTGGCAGCCAGCTGGTCTTGGCTTTACATCTCACCTGACTTATTCTATACTATTATTAGCAATCTTACTATTTTCATCAATATCTCTCGATTCAACTAATAAAACCAACATAATCCTAACATTATGTGGCATGCTACAAATCAGAGATGGGCATGAACCACTAGGTAGGTAGGTTGTGCTGGTTTGTCTATCAGTCCAACAGGTGTTCCGCAGTTTGGAGTCCTGGGCTTCCCTGCCCTTCCTCATCTGGGTGCTGCCTCTGTGTGGGCTCACATTGGTGGCAGTAGGGCTTGGAACTACAGAACACCTGTGGGACGACACCTGAATTGGCAATTCATGGCCATCTCTACTACACATTCATCACTGGAGTAACTAAGATTAATTGAAAGCAGAATGGGCCTGACCACATTACAATCTTCAAGATCAAACAAAGGAAGGAATGCATAAAATATTAATTTTCTTACTGCAGCCACAAATTTATTACATTGGAAACCTCACCTTCTGAATAAGGACAAAAAGATGACTCAGCTGCTCTGAGCTGAACTTGACAGCTGCTGCTGCAATGATACTATGGATGTTCTCTATCACAGTTGATGGCTGTCCTGACTTGAAGAACAGTAGAGGAAAGAGAACAGAAAGTTAGGAGACAGGGTTTTAAAGGCAATTGGAAAGGAAACTAGAGATCCACAACACATACGAAGGCTGAAATAATTTGTACTCTACTCCTAGAAGAGTGAGCTAGTAGCCAACAAGCCAACCTCCATGTAATGGGATTTCATCTTGTATCACTGGGTACAACTAGCAGGGATTAATTCGGTAGATTTAAAAATCACACTGCATATGTACAAGCCTTTCAATGCCAATGAAAAAATGAAAGGACCAACCAAAGTAATAGTCTCAGCTGACTGAAAAAGAATACATACTGAAAGCCTTCATGTTTTCACATGTAGGTTTTGAAAAGAACAAACAGTACTTCAGTTATCTGACAGGTTCTGTGTTAGGGGCAGATACTGCTCTGGGTGTGTCCTTATCGGAATTAGTGACTCACAAATAGTTTCAGTTTTACATTTCAGTGCTCAGGAGACTGAAGGAACTTGAGAAATACAGGGGTGGAAGTACACTTAACAATAGGGTTACCTCAGTAAACAATTCTTTAAAGAAATATCATTCATTCATCTCTAAGAAGAGACCCTAATTCTGAGAACCTTGGACAGCAGAATTTCAGAAATAACTGGTCAGGGCTTGTAGAAATTAGCTAGCTTGCTCAGTCCTTAATTGACTTGTCTTGAATCAAGGTAAATTGCTACCATGCTACTTATTAAATCCTCAGAAGAGGTGACACTACGTTCAGTGTCAACTAGAATAATATCTGGAACCAGATTTTTAAATAATCCAGAAAAAGATGGTGTTTGGGACCCAGACTTGCAAATTTTTTCACCAAGTTCTTGGTGTCAGATGCTATACAGAAATAAAACAAGTTTCACAATCCTTGCCAAAATGAATTTCCCCCATAAATGATATTTGCACTGTACTCAAAATTCCCTCCCTTAGAATGATTTTAGACACTAAAAGGCCTTTTTGAAAACTGGAAATGGATGGCCAGTCATTTTCTTTTTCTAAAAAGGATCTTGTAAACAAAGTTTTAGGATGTTAAAAAGAACATATCACAGGTTTGAAGGAGGAGGAGGTGCTCAGAATAAATGCTGAAAGGTGTCAAGCTATTGCAACAGTACCAGCAATGAAGAGCTTTCTTACTACATCCAAAATGCATGTATCACATGCAGCATATTACATGCAAAATGCAGGCTCTGCAAGTTACAGACATTCTAAAGCATCCATAAGCCAAATACTTAGTAAAAACTGTGTGCTCATTCTTATACATTAGTTCCTACATAAACCTTCAAACTGCATTTTACATTAAGCTCCTGGATATTCATTAATTGTGGTAAAGAATGAGCTTTCATCTTTCAATATATTCAACATTCAGGAGAACTCCACTTTGCCATGTCACGTACAAGCACTTTAATCAAATTGGTAGGAGGTGGAAGGAGAGAATATGTAGTCTTAACATATCTACATGGAATATGAACAGAACCAATTTACACAGAAATTATTACTGTAAGTAACTGCTCTGATAATTTATGCATGAAAAATGAAACACTAGAGTTCTCAGACCTTAAATATATTCCTCAAAGGGTAATAACCGAGCTGAGAAACCGAATAATGTCAGAATGTGGATGCACTGAATAAAACAGGTACATGGGCATAGATACACAGAATATGTCACAGCAATTGATCAAGATTCTAACAAAATATTTTGTGTCAAGATATTTTCCTCCATGCCCCCAACATGGCAGAATAGTAATGGACCACTCTGAATCAAACTCTTCTTGAGGGCCTTGCTGCTCATTCCTGCCTTTTAAATGACAAATTTCAAGTGTTCCTTTCCCAACTTTCTATCATCCAGTATACATTTTCCTCATACATTCATCATTTCATCCACCAAATATCTCCGTACTCCCACCCACTCACCCTGTAGGATACAGTTCATCAGAGGATATACTGAAAGAGGCCGGCCTTAAACATTTAGGAACAAACTACTGCACATCCTCACCTGTATTCGCCAAATTTTTGTTAGCTCATCTAAAGATAATTTGCTTCCCAGGAGTTCAATAATTCCCTTTATACGATCACAATACTGTGCTTGGTCGATATTACCTAGCAGAAAAAATAACAAAACACAGTGAACCAAGCCAGGAAACATGTTTCGTTGTGCCTTGATGTGACAATAATATACACTACAACTTTCTGAAAAGAAAGTCTTGGGGTCAGATAGCTCCCCACTTTCAGCACATCTGCAAGGAAGCTTTGGGGAGCATTTTAGAATAACCAAAGCTTGACATATCATCCAAACTGTCTCTGGAGTTGTCTAAAAATGATTATTTGTAACTATGATTAATTGAAACAAGGTAATTCAGAATGACTGGCTGAAATCCTATTTTTAATTTTAAGAACATTTGTTTCAGTCCATTTCTAAGCAGAAAATAACATTTTCTTTCTGTGATTCTTGGGGGCATGCATGCATGCACAAAGAGAATATGCCTGTGAACCCTAGAATCATGGTGAGGACTCATTTGCTGGCTAGGAGTGGACTGAAACTTATAAATTTTCATACATGAAGCAAAGGGATTTCAGCCACAGTTTATGAAAACAGCAATCATCTTTACACTTCAAATAAGACAAATTTAAGCAGAAACTTTCAGTCTGTTCTTCATGATTCTGCTGAAGGAGGGAATGAATATGTGGGACAATGCATCACCCCAAAGCTTCCTGAATATTCTCATATCCCTAAATTATGATTGAGACTATGTCCAAACACAGCCAGAATTCAGTTCTCTCCTTGAGCCTAAGAAATCCAGAAACAGAGGAGGAAGGGATGTTTTATATGCATGCTTACCTTCTAATGCAATTGATAGGACAGAGTTTTCCACCAGCCAATTTAATAATCGATCTGGATCTATTGCATTCTTTACTGATTTGGACACAGTGCTATCTTCAATTAGTTTTGTTACCTAAAAATAATTATAGACATTATCAGAAGTTTACAAGCAAAAAAAGAAGTTGTATTTTTTTTTTAAAAGAAAAATTAAAATGTAAGATCTCCATAAGTAGGATGTCTGTGCAAGGACCATAAATAGAAGTGTTTCAAAATTTGGTGACTGAGCAAGATTTGTCCTATTTTTCATTACAACGGAAGAAATTTACCATAGCAACAGTTAACTAATGCTAACATTAAATTTGAACAAAAATATTTGTTAATGCAAAATAAAACCTTAATAGTTGTCAAATTATCCACTCAACATGGTTCAAATGAAATTACAGCATTTACCAGAGGTACACTGTATTTTCTACCTGAAAGCTTTAGAAACAAAACTCGCAATTCATGTTATAGTTATGTCACTAGATTGAACATCATTTATACCCTCTCTTTTATTAACTACAATCATGAGTAAAGTGGAAGGGATTGTCACTCTCAAATTGGCCTTCTCAGCCACACTAGACGCCTTTCCAAGACCTCTATATTCAGAGCAATGTTACCATAGTCTCTCAAGGATGCCTATTTCATGAGTACTGATATTACCACACTGTAACTATTTAATCACACCTAATTTGATTCACTAAGTTCACTATAAAGCACTTACTTCTTTGAGAGAGTTCATTTTTGCACTGAAATGTGGTGATTTCAACATACGCAATAGGATGTCTAATCGCAAATCATCCACTACTGTTACTAAATCAGGTTGAAAACGCATACAAAGAAGCTTGATGGCAGACAAGAGTTCAGGGATGCTGACGAGCCTCTGTGAAAAATAAGAATTATGAATACTTTGTAGATACACTAACTGTGAACTCTAACATGGAATAGACCACACGACATGGTATAGACTCATAGCACATAAATACTCAGATGTCAGTCCCATTAAATTCAATAGGATGAAATCTGAAGTGAGTTCTCACAAGATTAGGCAGAAGACTCTGGAGAGATTATAATGCTAACTCGGGAGACCTGGTACAAGGAGTAGTCCATGTACCATTGGTAAGATGAATGGTCTAGAAATCAAATCAAATCAAATCAAATCAAATCAAATCAATGAACAAATGAATGAATGAATGAATGAATGAATAAATAAATAAATTTTGGGATCTATATATGAATCACCTACAAATGGGCATTACCAGCTGTGTTGCAAAGTACGTATCACCAGCCTTTTGGGACTATATAGCAATTATTTCCTAAGTGGACAGCAATATTTTTCATGGAAGCACTGAAGAACTTGTAGGTGAAATACATCTGTGGTGTATATTTTTAAACTGTTTTATTTACAAAATATCATAATAGTATTGGTTATATCAGCATTTAATTTTGTGCCTCAATATTGCATTAAGTATATCTTCTTTCTGTACTTTCCTTAAATTCCCTTTTCTTTCCTTTGCTATTCTGTTAAGGTTTGGGTTGGTTTATTCCTGTTTTCAGTTTTTTCCCTGTAAGTTCATATAAGTCCCTACTCCAATAGTGCCACTGCACTATCTCAAGGTCCACTAACACCAATGGAGATAAATTTGTAAAATATGTACAAAGGAGGGACCAACATAGTTTTGCACTGTGTAACCAACTGCACATGTATGTTTTTGTTGTGTTGTACTATCGCTTCTGTGATGGTTTAATCAATGCAAATATGCTCGTAGTTTTTTAAATCTGCTAACGTCATGCTGAATCTAGGCCAGGATTACAGTTTACGTGTGTGGTCTTATACAGAGTTACTTCAAATTCATTATCCCTAAAGATAGCACAGGAACAAGGTTAAGATCACATTATCCTTTGAAGCAAGTGTGGCTAATTTTTAGGATATTAACCTAATTTACACACATCACACTAAATATCTATCACTCTGAATAATCACAAAATTTACAGCAAATCAGGTAAAAAAGTAGTAATTAGAACTCTTACTTTTGTAGAATTGTACCTTTGTAGAAAGGTACAGCAGATAAAGATATACATGACTATAAATACGCGAACCAGCCAAAAGAAGATTGCAGCTTTTCATTCAGTGTGAATATCTAAAAGTAATTTCCCACAGAATATGTAACAATGCTCTTATTGGAGGTAGGCAATTTCTGGAGGAAAAATGCTCCACCAAGTATACCTGCTCCAAAAACACCCACATTTTTTACACCTAAATGGAAACATTTTGGGGTAACATGATTTGCCTTATAAACCTGATTTCACTGCTGAGGGGCATCTTTAGGCCTTAAAAGTCTTCACTCCACCCCCTCTGAAATAGGGAGTGACCAAGCAGCAACTGGTAGCCTATGTTTCACATTTTACTACTTGTTGGGGAACATCACTAGAAACAAGTTTGTGGACCTCCCACCATGCTGGCTACTTAAAGAACAGTGCATTGGACTGGATGGGACTCTGATCTAATCTAGCATGGCTATTCTTCTGTTTTTATATGATCGTCACTTTTTTTTACTTTGTCATGCATTAGTCAAAGACTAAAAGATAGTATGGGGGCAATGTAATTAGCCAAGGAAGTGTAAGCTGTATAGACATTCTTGGTTGTATTTAGGAAATGATGTTCTACCTTGTCTTTCAGGTCCTTCTCCTCAACATTCTGTACATATTTAATCATATTATGAATAACTGGATCCAACATGGGCTATAAAACAAGAAGACAATAATTCCATATGTAAGAGACAATATATTATTCCCCAGGTCTTTACTGTAATCAATTGCTTCAATTCTTATACCTAGTGACATATAATACGGTTCAAAATACTGCAGTTGGAAAGCTAAAATCAACAACCATTTCCGCATGAACAATAATATTATTAACATGAAATTTTTAGGAAAATGGCCATCTGCTAAGCATTCCAAACACAAACTATTCATAGCTAAAACAGATGTGAGCCAAGTACTGTAGGTTATATTTGGACCAGATGGCATCCAGTGATTGCTTGACTGGAAAACCAATTGCATAATCAAACTTCCTTTTTATAAGAACTTCCTCCAACACCTCTAGAGACCCTCCTTAAGTCTATGAGCCCTCCTTCCACTACAGTGGTGCAAGGAGGAAAACATTAGAACTAGACAAAGAATGGAGGGTCTTCTGCTGATCTTGAGACAAGTCGTCACCTCCCACTACAGCAGACCCCATTGATACAATTGACAATGTTCAGAAGAGTCTTCTGGAGATATTTTTCAGAGACATATGAGGGATGTCAGTTATACATGCTGCCTTCTATGCAACCTTTTGATATCTTCTTAATATAAAGTATATATACATCATACTGATCTCTGACAGATTATAGATTATCTGGAAGCTAATCCCATGGAAACCCAATGGTGTTCTTTCTGCTTTACAACAATGAATAATACTAGGAGCACTGTTTTGACAAATCATTATTTGCACTAATTTAAAACCAATCAACCAACCAACCAACCAACCAACCAACCAACCGCATTTGTCCTAAAACAATTTAAAGGAGCAATAGAAGTCCATTACCTGCACTACTGAAGAGTTGAGATATTCTGCACAAACTCCTAAAGGCTGGACCAGTGCAGAGACTGCCTAGAAGAAAGAGCAGTATTTGAGAACATATATACAAGAAAAACCAAAAGACGTTAGTTGAGAAATGCTAGATAAATGAATAAACAAGTTTCAAGCATGCTAGAGGAGAGTGTCATCTGTTAATATGAACTAACAAACAATAGGGAAGACCAGAGATGAGAATTTCAAATTTTTTGAAGTACAGCCCCCTTAGTTCTGCTGAAATTGCCCCAGACAGAATTCTGGGAGCTTTAGCCCAAATGGGGGGGG